GCGAGCGAGCACACATGTGATGCAAACAACATGTTCCACTGGAATGAATGTCCGGATGTGCTGGACAAGTTTTCTGGCTGGATAAATGCAATATATCATTCAGTGATGAAGCAAATGTAAATAAGGTCATTAAAAATGAAATTCTAAGTTTGTCTAGACAAAATTCTAGTTTGTCTTCTATTACAAAGAAAAAATACTCCTGCTTACATTTATACTGTAAATCTCCAGAGGTTCTTCATTACTTGAGACCAGTAACATGTTTCCCGTCCCCTCCCCTCAAAAGTCAGGGGTAAAACTATGGGAGAATTTCCACTGTTCTCTGTAGTATTTATTTGCTAATTCTTGGAGATGTTACTAATGTTTCACTTAGTTCTTTTCATGTTGAAACTAGCAAGAATTTTGTCAACGACTTTATAAAAAATTACTGTTGGAAGCTGTTATCTCCATGAAATTTCTCCATTAGTTTTAATACCATTAGCATAAATTGACACTCCCAAATGTCAGGATTTTTAAGGTACAATCCAGTGCCCTTATTTTGCAATATTTAGCTCTAGTTTAAACATATACACAGGCCAGATAAGCCCCTCTGTGGTGCTCCAGTATTCCTGTTGGCCTCAAGAACCACCCTTGCACTTAAGGCCTAACGTACTAATTGTGTGGGATGAAAAAAAAGATACTGTTCATGTTGTAAGTGTAATAGGAAACATTTAAAAGTCTGTCCAAGGCTGAACTCTAGGCAATCAAAAATTCATACACTCTAAAAAAACCCAAAAACCCACCACTGCATCATAATCATTGTATGCTTTTTAGGCAACAGAATTAAGAATGAATTTAAAAGATAGATATATTTTAGAAAATAATTTACGCTAAGTCTGGGCTGATGAATTGCATTTTAACGATGCTTATGGTGCTACATTTTCTTTGGCACAAACCCCGTTCCTGGATCTAGCTTCAGTGGTACTGAACTTTCCTTTCTCCTCTTGGGACACGGGAGAGAGCCAAAAGAGAGGAAGCCAAAAGAGAGAAAGTTTCCTAGGGCAGCATTTCTGGCATTTCGATTCTCAACTTGCATAAATTCAGGCTGACTAGGAAAACACACCTCGTAAGCATTACTCAAAGTGCGAGGCAATCCCAGGCCAGGATAAACAAGTGCTTGCACAAAAAAACATATATAGCAGTTTCTGCTTATTACAAGGGACTCTTTGTGCCTTCTCGGGGAGCGCTGGCTTCC